AGTCAACCAATAGAAAGGATGACATTCATTACAAATATTTCTGACAAAGGATTCATATCCAGAATTATTTTTGGAAAAACAATCCTCCTAAAAATTAATGTGAAAAAGACACACACAACTCAATATAAAAATGAAAAATAAAAACAACTAGAGCAGCCATTTCACAAAAGAGGAGATAGATGGCTGATAAATATATTAAAAGGAGCTCAACTGCACCAGCCATCAGAGAAATGCAAAATAAAACCACAATGTCATACTTCCATCTCCACACAAGAATGGCTAAAATGAAAAACATGGGGAAATGCCAAATGTTTTCGACGACGGAGAGCGATCACTTTGAAACACTGTTTGGTAGTATTTATAAAAGCTGAACGTCATTATATCCTCTGACCCAGCAATTCTAATCCTTGGTAAACATAGATACGTGCTCACTAAAGATATGTTCTAGAACGCTCAGCCACCCTACTCATCCTAGTCCCAAAATGGAAACAACACAAATGGTCATCATCAGAATGGATGAAAAAATTGTGATATATTTAGGCCATGGAATAAAGAACCCTCAACTATACACTATTCATGCTGAAACGCATGAATAGTGAAAAAAAAAACGGACACAAAAAGAATGACGCGCTGATTCCATTTACACAGAGCAGTCGGACGTCCGGGTGATGGTCGCTCTCGGGACACGTCATCGGGAGGCACTGGCTGGGGCACAATATTCTGGTTTTAGATCCACGTTCTGGTTTTATGGGTTTGTTCAGTTTGTGAAAACTTATTCAGATGTACCCAAAGAGCAAAGTTAAAAACGAAACAAAAGAGTAACAGCAGCACGGGGTCGAACGCTCACATCCAAGGAGATCACCGTGAACTCCTCGCTCCCTACCCGCTAACCTCACGTGCACCCACACGCACAAGGAAGTGAGAACCTCATTGGCTGAGACAGGGTGACGCACTTCCGGAAGCCCCCGCTTAGCACCGCCCCTTCCGCCTTCCCGTCATCCTGCGCCGTCCAGCCTCGTGGCTCCGGCTCCCCAGGCTCCGGCCCCGGGAAGGCGGCGTCCCTTGCAGGGGTAGCTCCTCCCCCGGTCGCCGCAGGCCGAGTGGCGTCCCCCGCGCCGCTACCATGAACATCCGCAGCGCTCGGCCCGAGGACCTGATGAACATGCAGCACTGCAACCTCCTGTGCCTGCCCGAGAACTACCAGATGAAGTACTACTTCTACCACGGCCTGTCCTGGCCGCAGCTCTCCTACATCGCCGAGGACGAGGAGCGCAAGATCGTGGGCTACGTCCTGGCCAAGATGGAGGAGGACCCGGATGACGTCCCGCACGGCCACGTCACCTCGCTGGCGGTGAAGCGCTCGCACCGGCGCCTCGGCCTGGCCCAGAAGCTGATGGACCAGGCCTGCCGGGCCATGATCGAGAACTTCGGCGCCAAGTACGTGTCGCTGCACGTGCGGAAGAGCAACCGGGCGGCCCTGCACCTCTACGCCGACACCCTCAACTTCCGGGTCAGCGAGGTGGAGCCCCGGTACTACGCGGACGGGGAGGACGCTTACGCCATGAAGCGGGATCTCTCGCCCATGGCGGAAGAGCTGAGACGGAAGCTGGAGGAGAGGAAGGCCGGGGGTGGGGCGCTCAGCTCCCGGGAGACCCAGGGTCGCACGTCGTCTGGTTCCGGAGAGGCCTGTCGGCCGGAGAACGTGGCTGCCGACGACAGCCGCAGTGACAGCAAGGAACCCAACGAGTCCCGGGAGAGCACCGACGTGCAGGACAGCTCGGAAGACGTGGATTCCACCTCCTAGAGCGTGCTCCAGGTATTCTCTCTTCCCTGACCCTGTCCCTCCTGAATCCTAAATGCTGTCCCACATCCCTGCGCCGTACATACCTTGGCCTGCCCCATCCCGCCTCATCCCATCCCATCCGGGCCCTGCCGGGTTTCCGGTGAAAACTGCCTGATGACCGTGGGGAGTAGTGCAGGGTGCGTTGGAGGAAGGCTCATGGTTCGCTGTTGGAAGTTGAGAAGCTAACGGGACACCAACTCACGCTTGAAAGCAGATGAAATTCAGTTAAAAAAACAAGCATTTATCCTGCCTTTTTTAAAATATGAGTTGCATTTCAGGGTAACCACGTAGTTGATGCAAGAACTTTCTTTACAGAATTCAATGATAGAATTATAAAAATTACTGTTTTGCAAGTCTTGCTGAAATACTGGATCTAGCCGACAGCCACCAGTGGGCAACACTGTTAGGGGGAAGTTGGAGCATTTTGTAGTGATGCATCAGGCCCATAACACTTGAAGGCAGTGTTCAATCTTAACGGCACTAAACATGAGGATAAACTATCACATACCTTCTAATGCAACGTGGAGGCACAGTACCACCTATGAAATACTCTTGCCAAAAGAAAATTATACGTATGTATGGAATCGAACTATCATTTTTATAGAAAAATAGGACTTACTAAACTGTACCACGGTGCAAACAGCCAAATCCACAATGAGGGAATTTCTGCAGAACAAATGACCTTGCTTCTTCACAGATAAATGTTAAAGAAAAAAAAAAAAAAGGAAGAATTTCCTATTAAAACACAGTTTACAGATAAATTAACCAAACTCAACTATTATGGACAGTGTTTGGATACTGATTCAAACAAACCAAGTATTGTAAGACATTTTTGAGACAGGCAGAATATGAACATGGAGTATATTCTATTAAGGAATTATTAATTTAGGTGAACTAAATGGTAGTGTTATTGTGTTAAAAAAAAAAAAAAAAAGTCCTCATGCATTAGAGATACAGACTTAAATAATATGATGGATAGGATTTGCCTTAAAATACTCTAGCCAAAGGAGAAAAAAGGCTGGAGGGGAAGTAAAGTAAGAATGGCAACACATGATAATTGTTGAGTTTCGGAAATGGCTACCTCGGTGTTCCTTAAGCTATTTGCTTTTTTGAATGTGTGAAAATTAACATGAAAAGTTAAAGAGCAAAAACAGTTCCTATATTTATTAATAAACACTAATACTAAGAAGCCACTAAAAAGTAATTTTAAAAGACTGATGTCTTAGGAACAGCTCTGTTGTAATAATATAATACCACAGTATTTCTTCCATTAAAGAACTTTGTATTACCTTAGGAAGGGTCAATGAGCTACTGGCGATTTAGAAGCTTTAACTTCTTAATTTGGTCACCTGACCCTTACATTTGCAAAATGCAACAACTTTCTCATGGCAAAGTCCAGTTATGAGTGACGTATACTGCATAGAGTTTTTAAAAATGCTATGTGATTAATTTACTCATCCATAAAAATGTTTATTTGCCAGGCATTAGGTGGCAGAGCTGGGTATACAACAATGATCAGGAAAGACTGGTATTTATATTATATTTCCAGGTTGGTATCTGTTGAGACACCTTCAATCTTTGGTCCTAACTAGTCACTTCTGGGTCTTTTCCAGCTAGAGGCCTCTTCAAGTCTTGGGAACTCTCTGCCATGTTTGGGCCATTTTGCTAGCAAGAGTGCATTAGTCCGCATAGGCTAACTGCTCCTACAAATAACCTGCAAATTCAGTAACTCACCACAGTCGAATCTTATTTCTGACATCATGCTACAGTGTGGGTCAGCAGTGCGGTGGAGACGTGGAGTGGAGAGGAAAAGACAGCCCCACGCAGTGGAGTCATTCAGGGACCCGTCTAGAACAGGCATCTTAGCTTTCCTTCTGTAGCCCCCTTTGGCACTCTGGTGAAGCATAAGGACCCCGTCTCAGAAAAATGTTTTTAAAAGTTGTAAAAATTATTTGAGATTAACAAAGGAAAACAATTTTACTGAGATAGTTACCAAACTCTTTTTTTAAAATATTTTTGTTGTAGTAACATGTGTTTATTAGCATATGAAATGAAAACTCTAGCAGCGGTTCTAATAATTACTGTTATTTCAAAGCACATTTGCGTATAAATGATTTGAGGTACCCTCAATAGCTATGATATGATATGAAAATACCAGAGTCTCATGTATCGCTAATACTCCTGCGCATCCGCCTACATTCACAGTTGAGAGAGCGGCCCATAGCTGTTCACAGAAGTTTTAAAAGTCAGTCCCGCTTCCACGGCTAACTGCAGGGGAGGCTGGGAAATGCGGTAGCTTTATGCCCACGGGGGAAAGGAGCGGCCATACAGTGTAGTTTCTGCCATGGTAGGAAACACCTCGACGGCTCTCTAGACTGCGGGAAGTTCCGTCTCCACACCCAGCTAGGAGCAGCGGATCATCCTGGCCTCCCTGCAGGCGTGATTCGGGGAACTCTGTGAGGCTGCCTGGGGCCGCCTGCATACACACGACACCTACTTCTGCTCGTGCACAAACCTGGGCACGGGAAACCGTGGGATTCTGTCACCTCCCTGCCATTATGCTTCTCATTAAAGCCTGGGAAAAGTGACCCCTGCACTCTGAAATCCCCCAAACTGTCTAAAGCTTCGCTTCTATCCCGTTCGACAGGGATTCACCAGGACATAGGGCTGGCTGCCTGAATGGGGAAAGGCTACAGCGAAGAAAGAACAGGGGAAAAATTAAAAAGGCTCCGACCGCAAAAGTATTATCCTGCCACAATTGTGATGCTCCCTCCTGTGGAGCTAACGTTTAAATACCTACAGAAAAATGTCCTGAAAGAAAGAGTTTTTCATTTTCCCTCATGTCCACTTTTGAGTCTGGGCAACAGAGACAGTTAAAATTGGGAGTGATGGTGAGGGGGATATTTGGTGAAGGAGAATTGATTGTCTTCATCTGAAAAATGGTAATAAAAATTACTAGCAACACTGTGAAAACTCACTGTGTCGCAGGTACTACTCTAAGAGCCGTCTATGAAGTGTCTCGTTTACTCTTCACGATATTCTGTGCGGTGGGCACTGTTACTCCATTTCACAGATGAGGAAATCGTGTCACAGGGCTGCATGTCATAGAGAGTGGAGAGCAGGGCCGCAAACTCAGGCAGTCACACTCCGCAGTCGTGAGGATTAAATGACACAATCCACGTGAGTTGCGAAGCACAACTCCTCACGTAGTTAAACATACTAAGAGCTAAAACTTACAGAGTAATCTGTAGTAATAGTAACTCTTCAGGTTCTTTTGTCCTCCACAGTAATCAAATGATAGAGTGTTGTGTGTGAGCAGCAACAGTTTGCAGTCTTGGGAGGGAGATGCATCTTAATGATTAAAATAGCTCCCGCTGACAAGCCGAATGTCAAAGCATTCAGCCGAATCAACGCTCCTCACCGGCACAGTTTCTCGGGAGCCGTAGCGATGAAGACAGGTCAGTGGAAAACACGCCGGTCGAGGCAGGATTGCCGTCACCCCGCCGCTCACGCCCTGACAAGACGTGTGTGCTTGATGATCAATAACAAAAAAGTGCAAAACCTTAGCACTTGCAGTCGAGCCGGCAATACTGAGTTGACTCAGGTTACTTCAGTGACTTTCCCTTTCTGGTTTATTCCTTCTGTCACTAAGCTGTCATTGTAACAAAAAGTTGTTAAATGTTCACATGAGCATTCGCTGAAATAGACTGTTCTTAATTTTACCAGACAACTAATTATAACTGGAATGATAGAATGAAATACGGAAGGAAGTTAGAGACTGACAGGTCTGGTAAATTCCTAGTGTAACCTTAACCCAGATCTGCCAGAAACCATAGATCTCAAATGCAGTTGCACTCTGCAAAGATGAAGAGGGGGTGGGAAGAGACGAAATATTGTTTTGAAATACTAATCGGATAGATGCCATTTGCTGAATTATTTATAATCTCTAATGACGTCACCTTTCGATCAGTATGTGATGTACATTTAGGATGACTGAAATACCAACTTTGTCAGAAACAACGGATAAGAACAGGTTTTTCCTAAATTATGTACTTTATCTATGCTTCGGTATATAAAATCTCATGAGCTTTATAATAGAAAAGGTAAAGAAGGTAGAAGGTGGAGAATTCTGTGAATGGACAGTGGTTCAAACAGAGTAAAAGCCTTATGAAAATATATTGCAATGTCATTTCTACAGATTAATGTCTTCAGAACATAGGATTTTTTTGTTTTTTAAAGTAACTGAGCTATAAAATTCTGTTTTGTGTTCATAAGGCCATGTTGGCAAGTGGGCATATATTTCTCAGGCTTCAATAGCCCACCTTGAAGAAAACCTGGTAATGTAAAAATCTGAATTTAATAAACTAAGAAATTAAGGATTGTAATATTCATATTTTAAAGGGGATCTTTATGAAAAATGTCTATACCCTTAAACAACGGACTATTCTAGAGCATTTATGACAGTGTCATATGACTTTTAGGTTTAATTTCTTAAAATTTTCAAGCAGTAGTTACTGAGACAACTAAAACAGCTACATAATGTTTAGTTTTTATATTACATAACTTCTTCTGCATGCCTATATTAACAGCATTCATAACAAATTGAAAGAGGTGGTGATGAGAGTCTGACGTGTTCCTCCACATCATCTTCCTCTTCTGTTGTAGCAAACTTACTTTAAAAAGTAAGATTTTGCGTAATAGTGCCTTCTGCAACTTGATTTACTTGTTATTCTGGAAACAGACTTTTCTGGAATGATGGTTTTGTATAAAAATGCTTTTTAACTGCCCTGTGCATTAATAGTCAACTTCCATCTTGTTACTTCTGTGTGCGTTTGATAGATGAGAAAAGATAATGGTCTTTACAGCTTTGGGGTTCCACTGTTGTTTGCAGTTAAAATGGGCAGTAATACTCTTGGCCTTTCTTTAACTTAAATATCACATTCACACGTCACACAAACCTT